ATATAAGTATATATACATACAATTAATATTTCATTATAAATACAGGTGGCCGGGGCAAGAAGAAGACACAATTTGTCTTATCACCAAGCCCCAAGAATTGACTCCGTAAAATAAAAATTATTACTTATAGCATATATAATTGTAACTAGTATATAAGAAATAAAATTTTCTAGTAATAATTATACAAATAGTAAAAATAATAAAAATATATAAAAAGAGTAATAAATACATAAAAAAAAAAGTTTTGCAACAAATAACTTGTGAAAAAAATTATACTTATTATTCTTTTTTATTTATGCATATTACTCTTTGAAAAAATCAAATTAAAATTAGAAAAAATAAAATGTTGGTTTAACTCTTTTAAGATAAGATTAAATAAAAAGATGTTAGTTAATTGAGATTAAAAACTAGTTAATATCATTATTCAAACGTAAAGTTGATACGGATCTGAATCTTTCCATAAATATATATATATATATATATATATATATATATATATATATATATATATATATATATATATATATATATATATATATATATATATATATATATATATATATATATATATATATATATATATATATATATATATATATATATATATATATATATATATATATATATATATATATATATATATATATATATATATATATTTAAATATATAAGTTATGATTCACCCAAAGTGACAATAGGTTGGAAAAATAAACTTAAAAATAAATTGAAAAAGTTTATCTGTAGTACCAGATAACTTTAGAAGAAGTCATGCACTCTGTCACAAACCAGAAGCAACCGAAGTATCGTGAGTTTTAAGTTTATTAGATATAAATTTATTCCATTCTTGTGACCCTCTAATAGATATTGAAAACTCCGTTGCTGTAAAAAAACTTTTAGGCTGAATATAATTGTTGTTTGAGTATCTGGTTAAGTATCTATTCTTATTTATTATGAATAACAAATTTAAAATGTTAAGTGTTATTTTTGAATTAACTTTGAACATAAAAATTGAGTATATTTAGCTCTATAAATAGTTCTTTGGAGTGTGTAAAACGGTCTACATTAAATAGTATTCTGATAGCATGTTTTTACTTATAAAGGAGTTTTTTCATTTTGTTTTGATTTGTGTTACACCAAGATATGTTTGCATAATTCAGATAACAATGAATAAAGGAGAAATATAAAAGTTTTAAACAAGATTTAATAAAGGCCTCGCCTTATAAAGTAATCCTATATTTCTTGAGATTTTACCTTCAAGATAATGTATATGATCTTTCAAAGTTACGTTATTACAAAGTTTCAAAGTTACGTTACGTAACTACAAACGTTTCGTTACTACAAAGTTTCAAAGTTACGTTACAAAGTTACGCCTAGAAATTTTAACGAGTGTTCTCTTTTTATAACTTGACTACTAATACAAAGTATTAGAAGTTTTAAGGGATCATTCTTCGATTTTTTTGAGTTGTTAAACATCGAAACAGCATCGTACTGACTAATTTTTCTTTTTTGTGGTATTTCGATATAATTTGTGTAGACCATCATTAGACGTAAAATACAATTTAAAAACAGTTACAATATAAAATTTAAAACTTTTCTGTACTTTTCGTTTCTATTTTCGTCTAGAATGTTTTCCTTTTCAAAGCGTTTGTTGTCTTAGTTGTAGACTTTTGCAATTATTTTTATCAAAAAGTTCCTCTTGAAAATTTAAAGATAATTTAATGTCTTAAATTTCTTTTACTAAAATTTTGATTTGGTTAGTACTTTCTTTGAAGTTTTGTTCGACTTTATCAAGCCGCTCATTGACGATTTTCGTGTTTGCACTTGAAATTTCGACAAATATTTTTTGTTGTTTCAGCATCGCCTATGTTTCTTTTTGTTATTCCAATAACATTTCCTGTAGCCTTTTTTAATTTCTGCAAGTGTAACCATTTGTTATAATGTTTTAACTTACAATAAGTTTTATTTTTTTAAACAGATAAAAACGCGTCCAGGGCCGACGACACGGGTTTTGAAGTGTCGTCGGCTATGGTGTCTGCTCTTCTTGAAGGCCTATTGCCTTTGCAACAAATGCAATATTATTAAAGTCATTAATTTGTTGTCAAATTGTATAAAGTTTGAGAGTGAATTAGTTTTAATTTCCAGACCTCTTTCATGACTTGCCAGACGCGCTTTGAACTGTGCTTATATTTATTAAGAAAGTTTGAGTATTTTTTTTTTGTGCATTTTTGAGAAGCTTTTTAAGCAATTTTTTTACAAGTTTTATAATTTTAATTATATTTTTTGACTTTAAGTATTTAACGTATAACTTCTGCTTAATTTTAGACAATTTTTCAAGACCTTTTGAAACTCAAGGATATAAATTTCTTTGTCGTTTAAAACTATTTCACTCAAAGGAAAATCGTACACTAGGTGAAAGGTTTTGAAAAATTTGTTCAAAATTGTTTTCTGAATAAATTCAAATTATTATTTTCGATGAGCCATTTTTAAAACCGTTCACAGTTTTCTTTTTTTAAATTTACACTTACAGAAAAAAAATATTGGGAAATGATCGAAAACATCGGTTTTTATAATTCCCTTTTTAACCGACTTCATAAATTGGCTGTTAAAATGTTATAAACTAATGATAATAAGTGACTTGACTTAAGATTCTAGTCGGTTGATTAATTAAAAGTATTGTTCCAGTTTCAAATAAACCATTAAAAAATTGTTGATAAAATTCTAGGAACTAAATAAAATTCTAGAAAATGTTACGATTAGTTCAAAGAACATACAAACTTCCTAATATAAACTTGATGCAATTAGATTAACTGAGCTCATGACGAAATAAATTGCCTAGAAAACTATCTTAGCCTGTCAAATAAGCATTAATGAGCTAGAAATAATCCAAGTCCATGGTTTCATAATTCCCTGTTCACACACAAGGAATTGAAAAGGTTGTCGAAGAGGCAAAATTAATTATGTTTTTCTTCAATAATATGCTAATTATATATATATATATATATATATATATATATATATATATATATATATATATATATATATATAATATATATATATATATTTCTATTTAAAAATAATTTTAAATAGTTCTTTTTTTCTTGTTTTAGATAACTATAGCTTCTAAAACAGTCTTTGGTTTTAATAGACGAGGTTCGAGCAAGAGCAGAAAGAGATGTCGTGTTTTTAGAGAAAGATTTTTCCATTTTACAATTTACTTCATTCATTTTCAGTTATTTTAATAAGAATAAATTATAATTGTAGAAAAATCTTTTCAAAAACTTTCATATTGAATAAATGTTTAAAAAGACATGAATGTAGGAGAAGAAAGAGTGTACATTGCACTGAATGTTTTAAAACTGTCCTTCATTTACTTTGATGAAAAAACATTAAAACAACTATGAAAAATACTTTTTTTTATCCCCTATATAGATTAGTCTTAGATATCTTATTTTATTCCACCTCCCCATTTATTTAAATTTTGAAAATTAAGGTCTATTTATGCAAATGTTGATAAATTTATTTACGTCTTTCTTAAGGTGGTACTAAAACTATTATTAAAATGTTAAATAATGTATTAAAAAGTTGCAAATTAGAAGTTTTATATAAAAAAAAACTAAAATATATAAATTTTGAAATAATTTGTGAATAATTTTTTTTGCTCGCTTACCCAAATCTAATAAAACAAAAATATGCAGAATTCAATATCTCAAGATAAGGTCATTTGCTCCAAAACTTTACAATAACATAGATCCCATAATGATGTAGGAGTTGTAATAGAATCATCTACTGTATGCATATAGTTTAGGAGTAAAGTTTACTCCTAAACTATATGCATACAGTAGATGATTTTAGTGCAAATCCTACATCATTATGAGACCTATGCTATGGTAAAGTTTTGGAGCAAATGACCTTATCTTGAGATGCTGCATTCTGCGTATTTTTCTTTTTTTGTGTTTTTAGATTTGGGTAAGCAAGGCAAAAAAATTTTTTATTTACAAATTTTTTTATAATTTGTTTACTTTAGTTTTTTATATATAAAAAAAAATTTGCATTTGAATTTGCAACTTTTTAATATATTATTTAACATTTTAATAATAGCTTTAGTACCACCTTAATGTATGTGCCTGAAGGCAAAAAAATCCTTAGGGAGACTTTTTTTAATAAAATTTGAAAGGTACGATATACACATTTTGTTTTGTATTGTAACTATTTTTAAAAGGAAAAATCATTTAAAAACACGATTAGTTAATAGTAGCTTTAATTGATTTAATCACTAAGATTTATTTTTATTTAACATTTTAATAATAGCTTTAGTAATAAAATACACGCCATTAACTTCGAAAAAAAAAAACAGAAAAAAAGAACCAATACATTGTTTACAATTTTATAATAAAAAACATTTTAAACTAAATCTAAAATTAAGATTTAAAAAAAAAATGGCAGAAAATGGAAAAAAAAAAAAAAGCGCAAGAAAAAACTAAATAAAAAAAACTAAAAAAAAAATTTTTCATAAAGGTAAAAACCTTTACTTCTAAACAAATTTGAACAAGTTCTAAATTTTATATAAAAAAAAATTAATGAAAAAAAAATGAAATTTATAAGAATATAAAAAAGGAACGGAAAAAAAAAAAAAATTAGTGAAAAGTATTCAACAAAACAATAACTTCTTTTTTTTTATTTATAAAAGGCTTTAAACTAAAGACTTATAATAATCTTTTCCAGAAATAAATTAAAACATATTTATAAATAAAATAACGCAGATAATATATATAAAATTATCTAACGCATATATAAAATATGTTGAGTTAAATATATCTCTTTTAATTATAGATAAAAATTTATATATATATATTATAGTAACCATAGAGATAAAAGTTAAAAAAAGTTGAATTGTTTAAGATAAAAAGTATTTTCTAACTTAAATATTTTAATTTTTCATGTCGAGATAAATTATTAACTATAAAAGTAGTACTAAAATGTTTTAATAATTAAAAACAGTATTAAATTTTCTAACTAATAAAAACAGTATATTTAAAAAATCAGTTAAAAAATTTCTATTACTTTATTCACTATCTTCAAATGCATCATATTCTTTTCTAAACAAGCCATGCGTGATTGCTAATGCACCACCGGATATTAACCTCACAAAATTATCACCAACTAATGGACCTAAAGCATATAGCCCTTTTCGAGACCGACATTCATATGTATATAAATCTATATCTAACGGATTAGTTTTTATATTAAACTCTTTCTGTGGATCTTCTTTTAAACTATCAGAATTATCAATTATTGATAAATCTGGTAACAGTCCTACTAAAATAATTACTCGGTTAACATGTAACTTATAAGCCAGCATCTTATTAGTATGCTCTATAATTACTTCTCTGTTAGGTAAAATCCCGACAACATTGTGCTGGGGTAAGGGTTTATAGTACTCATTGTTTAAGCACTTTCCTGTCATTAAAGGCTTCAATTGCAAATAATCTGCATAAGCAGAAGGAAGCTGGTTTAAAATGAGCTCTGGATCCTTGACGCTGCGGCGAAAAACGTGATAAACAGGAATTCGGTTTGCAATTAATTTAAGCACAGCATCTAGAGCGACTAGTCCACAACCAACAACAAGAACAGGCAACTTTTGATTAATCATAGTTTCTATATCAGGAAGAGCGTGGCAAACAAAATCGTAATGTTCACCTGTAATATAGAGTTTTCTTGGAATATTTGATGCACCAACTGCTAAAGCAACATTGTCAGAAAATAATGTAAACATTTGAGTAGTTGTTTCATCGACCCACTGCAGACCTTCAATACACCAATGCATAATATTATTTTGAGTACACTGTCTAACAGATGTTACTTTGACGTTGTTTTTAAAATTTTGTGACATGTTTTGTTTTTTCACATAATCCATATAATAAAGACCTACTAAAGCTGTGTGGGTTCGATCAGGATGAACAGAAGTAATTGGAGATAACTTGGGTAAATTTGGAACTTTATATTGATTTTCTTGAAACCACTCCTTGTAAGAATATCCAGGCAGTTCAAGCCATTGGGCTAAACTTACAGAGAGTTGTGAATTATTCATATAATGCCAGGAACCTCCAGCAGGACCCATTCCAAGTACTATATGACGCACTTCATTATTCGGGTTATAACGCCATTCAATCACTGATTCATCATTAGTCAACATATCAGCATTTGGATGAAATAAATGATCAAATAAAATACTAACTGGGTTCATAGTACGAGAGTCGTACATGCCCTCACTAAGCCATTCTAAATCCTAATAAAGGTGTTGGTAAAAAAATTTAAAGATATTATAGTATGCATAAATATTTTGGCATGAATATTAAGCATTAAAATTTTATTTTATAAAATTTTATTGAACTAAATATTTAAAAAAACCTGAAGAACCAATGATTTAGTCTGTGATACATAACGAAGTCGTTCTTTTAGAATTGGATCATCTATTGGTTTCCCATTGTAATAAGGCCAATTTCCAGATAAAAAATAAGATAATAGAATTGCAGAAGGTCCGTTACCTAAAATTTATTGAAAAAAATCATTTATCTCATTTTAAACTAAAATAAATTATATACTTAAATTCAATAATATTTCAGTTTACTAATTAATAATTTAAATCTTAAAACTATAGCAGTGAAAAAATTATTTAAAATTCATAAATATTTTAATAACTAAAAATACACCAAAAATCATTTTATTTGCTGAACATTACTTATCTTAGTTATCGTCCTAATATTAAAAACATTTAACACATGTAATAGTTAATTTATGCTTCTTTCTTTATAGCAAAAACAAATAACACTAAGCATAGTCAAAAAGAGCAATTAACATTCCACGATCAGCAATTCCACCGATCATCATTTTAAAGAGGAATTAATTCTATGCAGGTTTAGATAAATGTAAGTCAGATAGATAGAGCGAAGTGAGAAGCTGGTCAACAGAGCTTTTATATTTTCCATAAAGATATTTCTTTTTTTATAATTATCTCTTTCTTCCTGAGCCAGATTGATGAGCAAGGTTCTACTGCATCCTTATACTATATATATATATATATATATATATATATATATATATATATATATATATATATATATATATATATATATATATATATATATATATATATATATATATATATATATGTATATGTATATATATATATATATATATATATATATATATATATATATATTATATATATATATATATATATATATATATACACACACACGCAGTGCTTGAAAAAAAATAGGTGTAATAAAATTTTGTTGCTTCAATCATATTTAACTTAAATGGCATACAAAAGCATAAAATTGTATATAAAATGTATGTATATAAAAACTCTATCAAACATAACAAAAAATATCAATAAAAAAATAATAAGTAAAAAATTAAATAATGAGTAATAAGTAAAAAATTAAAGCATCAAATATAACATCTAAGCTAGTAAGTAAAATACCTCCAACAAGATTCTTTGCAGGCAGCACATCTTTTTTGCATTGATTTTACAAGATTGTTGCAGATTTGGTTTGGAACTTTTCCCAAATGGTATCTAATTCTTGCTTTAGGCTATTTATAAATCATATTTGAACCTTGCCTAATCCTTTGTCCACCCAAGCCCAAATAGATTTTATATACATAAGACTGGATTCAAATCTTGTGATCAAGCTAACCAGGGCAATAAATCTACTTTATTTTCTTTTATCGATGCTTTAACTGTATGCGTTGTGTAGGCAGGCACCAAATCTTATTGAAATTGCCACTATTCCTTTCAAACAATCAGAAAGTCCACTGGTGGAACCATGCAGCTCTCTAGCGTCTCTATACATGTATATTAATTGATTAAATCTGTATAAATGTTACACACTCCTATTTCTGTTAAAATTAAAGTGGCCCTAAATACCAATACTCCCGTCGCCAATTTTCAACTTTGATACAACAAAGTGATTACTAAACTTTTTAAACTTATATCTTTTAGCAAGAATTTTGCATTTTCTATTCAATACTTCAAAGTTACTTTCATCACTAAAAATACTTGCTAGATTTCTCTGAAGACTGCCAAATTCTCTCACCACCTTATCCTTGTGAGCCGACATCTGGCTATTTTCTTGGTTTTCGTTTAATGCGTGGGTAAGTACACAATAACTTAACCTCAGATTGATTCTTACTTGACAAAATATAAGACTGTTTTCATGCTCAGTAGTTTTTTTAAACATTCTAGATCCACCATGACACTGAATGCCATCTGTTTAAATGTCTTTAGAGTATATCTGACACAATTCTCTTAAACTTTTAATTTTCTTGCTTTTTTTATAATACTGATTATTGAGCCATCCTTCATACCTATTATTTGCCACTTTGTTGCTTCACTCACTGCTTTTCAACCCATTTCTATGTAAATTTTTTTTTAGGTCTTATCAAAAGATTTATAAAAAATTAAATTTAAAATAACTAAAATAGCCTGCTGCTTAAAAAAAATTAAAAAAAGTGGAATAAAACCTTAAGAGGTTTAAATAATTAGATAATTATTTAATAATAAAAATAGATAATTTTTATAAAAAAGTAGAATTTGCTTATTGAACAATATATAATAATAATCACGCCAAAATCAGGTTAAACCTAAGCACTACATGGTTGATACAAATATACACAAATATATTAAAAAAGCTATATACAAATATAAAAATAAGCTAGCCTAGAGTTAAGTAATAAAATTTACTGTTATATAGAAATTAAAGAACTAAATTTTTAAGAGTCAAACAAAGGTAAAAGTAAAGTTTTTTAAAATAATGTTTTATAGCTGGATGTCACTGTACTTCTAATACCCGAACAAATGCAACTTATAAAACTAACAAAATTCAAAATAACAAAACACTAATTTCTATAAAGCAATTTTTGTCTAAGATTTTTTCAAGACCTAATAAATTCCAGGGCATTTCAAAGTTTTTGAAGACAGCTGGCTGCCCTAGTGGTTGGCTTATATTGAGTTCTAACCTCAATTTAACTACTTATGAGTTTATAACTTATTATATAAAAGCATAATAAATAAATATATCAAACAAAAATAAAAAGTTTTTACTTACCAATAATAACAACATCATAATCTTTTCCAACAGACTCATCATCATCTGATGAACCTTCACTTGATAATCTTTTTTGCAACCTCATTATTAAACCAGTTTAAACAGTTGAATATTTCTTATTTATTAGTTCTAAAATAAAAACTTGATATATCAACAGAAATAACACAAACAAGGTTTTGTTTCACAATATTTTTTTAAACAGAAAATCCTTATTACAAATCCATGTTGATTAACAGACCTTTCACAAAGAAAGATTGATTTTAGTTAGAAACCTATCTATAGTTTTTAGGGATGAACACAATTTGGTAAACCATGTTCAAAATCTAAACACATTATGAGATAGTGATCACTTTATAATATTTTTCATGCGTAAGGTTAGAGTTACATTCATATGTCAATACTATAAATTGGTTACAACTTTGATTGTTGTTCAACAATCAAAAGGTTACTTGATTGTTCATCAGCATTTAAATTGGTAGTAGACTTAAAATTGGCATTTGTTTTGAAGTGCTTGAAACTAAAATTTAATTATTGTTTCTTTTAAGTAAGAGATGTTTTATTTTTAAAAAAAATCATCGATTTTTTTTATATTTTTCATTTTTTCTTAAAATCATTCATAACAAGCCTAACATCATCATTAATTCATTCAAAATTTCTGTTGTTCTAAGGCATTTTTACTTAAAATTTTAGCGTAATTATTATGATATTAAATTTTAAAATCTAGTATTAATTTAATTTATTAGGTAAAACTATTCTTATATTTGTTTATAGCTACTCAAGATGAAATTAGTATTCCATTATATTTTATAATTCGTCACTTGATGACTGTTTTGTGCCATATTAATGGAGAAGCATTAACTTTGTTCCACAATTTAAATGCAGTAATAGTTAAAATGAAGAAAACTACAGACTTGTTAGTTTCTCCAGTCAAACTTGTAAGCTTGTTTAAATCACCATAACAAATTGTTTTGGACAAATACCTTGAAACTAATTAATCAATAGTATATGACAATATAATATATATATATATATATATATATATATATATATATATATATATATATATATATATATTTTTTTTTTTTTTTTTTTATTCTTGTTTTTGTAAATTTAGTAATCTTTAATTTTGATGACAATGTTCTAGACTAATGTTCAGTGCTTTTGTCTTAGGTTTGAATAAGATCAGTAGGTTTAAATGTAATCCTTTATGAAATTATGATATATTAATTCTTATCACATGATCATTAATGATTTGATGTAAAACTTTTTTAATAAACTTATAGACGTCCCTCTACTGATGCTCAATTAGGCTTTACTTTTATTAACTTAATTTATTAACTTAAAGACAAGCATTTCTTTCAACATAGAATGATATTTTCTTCTATACATACAGTTATAAAAGAAAAGTCTTCTCACCCACACCAAGCTTATTAGGTTCTAACATTTATTTTTTTAATGTATTTGATAATCTTAATAAGTGTAAACCGGCCTCACAACTTAGAATATATATATATATATTTTTTTTATTTTACTTCACCTCCTCAAGGCCGAGAAGGCCACTACAGACGAGGAGGCTACTTATTTTGTGGCTATAACCCTCTCTCAACTCTATAACTCCGAAACACGAACCTTGACGAACAAGGCCGCTGCGCAGAGAAACGAGTTGATTATATATATATTATTATATATATATATAGACGAGTTATATATATATATATATATTTATATATATATATATTTATATATATATATATATATATATATATATATATATATATATATATATATATATATATATATATATATATATATATATATATATATATACAGGAAGTACATGGGGTAGCTGATATGATCTTCTGGTTAGATCAAGTTTTGGAAACGAGCATGCAAATGCCATCGTGACTAATTGACGTCTTATGATGCATCTGACTTCACAAAGAAAAGATAAATGAATCCTAAGTATAATAACATTAAAAAAAGACAAGCTTATGGTCTTCTTTGTAGTTGTTTTGGATTCCATCTTTCATATATGGACTCTTAGGAAACTTATGAAAAAAATCGCAAAGGATATCAAAATAATTTATTTATTTAATAATGTAACCCAAGTGAAAACTATGTTTTATTAGATCAATATTTATTTATCAATATTTATGTCAATATTTTATTTCACTTGATTGTGACATATATTCAAAAAAAGTCTTTTAAATACATATGTAAAGTACAAAAATTGTCCCAGGCTTAATTTTTAGATTAACTTATTATAACTACCTACCACATTTACTTGTTGGTATTTGGCTGAATGCAGTTATATGAGCCAGGTTAGAGGCCTAGTTTTAGAAACTGATAAATATAAAAAAATCATTAAAAGTGCTAATTCACATAAGTTGAACAAATTTGCAAACTTTGGCATAAATGTGCATAAGTGGCATAAGTACAAAGCATTTACAAAAATTAGCAAAGTTTGAACAGCACAAGTGTGGTGAAAAAATTTGCAAACATTGGTATAAGTGCAAATTGGCACTTATGCTTACTTACACTTTTACGCAATTTTTTATTTAAACCAGTTTGCACTTATGTAGAGTTGCACTTATTTAGTCTTTCCCCTATTAGGCAACTAACGACAATTTAAATTATGCAATATGAGTTTTTTGCAACACTCTTACTTTTTTATTGCTCAAAATTTTTGTTGTTTATTTTATGCTAATTATAGGAATACTTATTTAATATTTTTTTTACAGAAAGTAGTAGGTGATCTTATTTGGTTGGTGCCCCTAGACAGCCTTCTAGATTTGCTTTATGATGTCATTTGCACTATGATGTCATTTGCACACTGTGTTGTTTCAGAGCCAATGTAAATCTCAAACAAACAAGTTAAAAAGTTCTAGAATTTTATTTAAAACTCAAAAGTTAAAGTCCTTTCACTTGAGGAACTTGTTTTGTAACTCCTTTCTATTTCTAGCACTATACGGAAGACTGTTGTAAATTTTTGCACCCATTTAAAGAAACAAATTATGTGCAAAGTGTTAAGTTAAATTATGGAAAAATTATAACAGAATCATTATTTCTTGTATGAATTTAAATGGATGCAATTCTAAAAATGCATTTAACGTTACTGGTACCAAACTTTTCCTATTTACACTATTTCATTTTTAATCACTATTAATTATTATATAATTGTAAACTTCACTACATATAATAATAATACAACAATTGAATCATCGCTAAAAAAATTTAATTACAAAAGTCTTACTTTGATCTTGTTTGGAGTACGCAGTTTGGTTGGAATATTTTGTTGTGTAACTTATTTCTTTCAAACTATGCGGGTTCAAATTATGACCGAGGATTTCTAGTGAGATTACCGTCCGCTTTACCGATGGGTATGGGTAAAATAAAAACGGTACGTTTTTATTAATATTTGTACAAATTGCAAAAACAAAAAAAAATATATATATATTTTTTTTAACTTTGAACTTTTAAGTTAAATAATTGTTTAAAGGGTACTTGTACTTTTAAAAAATTATTCCATAGGTTTTTTAACATTTAATTATTAATGTTAGAGGTAATAAAGTATTTTTGAGTAATTTTGAGTATTTTAAAAAAAAATACCAATAAACGAAAATAGTAATAAAAATAAAATCAAAAAACTTAAATGATTATAAATAATATTAAAACATTTTTTTTTTTCACTAAAATAAAAACATTAATTAAAATTTAATTTGAAAATTCAAAAAGTTAGAACTTAAAGAATAAAAAAAACTTTAAAATTTTATTTGTTCAAGTTTTAAACACGTTGAAGAGCCACTTCTGTAAAAATCAGACAAAAATACTAATTTTTAATTAAAATTTTTTTTTTTTTTTTAATTTTATTTATTATTAATGTGTTTCATTTAAACACCATGTACATATAAATAGTCACAAGGTCTATAGATACAAATAAATAAATAGGCACAAGGTCCATAGATAAAAACAAATAAAGAGTAGGGGAAAGCGGGGCAACATGGCGAATGGGGCAAGATGGGTTTTCATATAACAAATCAACAATAATTCTTAAAATTGGTTGAAAACGAAACTGTATTTGCATCTTGTATTTTAAAACACCAATTGGTTTTTTGAAATATTATCAACGCAATTTTATACGCATAAGTTTACTTTTTGTGCTTAAAAAATAATTCTCACTTTCGGTTTCTCATAATAATGGATGGTGTTCTTCAAGTTTAACTTCTTTAGAAGTAGTTTTTTGCGATTGTGTTTATTTTGTGTTACTTTAGTTAGATTTTTTTGTAGTTTTTAAAATTTTATAAAATTGGAGGTAAAAGATGCATAATAAGTCATCTTGCCCCAGTCACGTGATCAGATAACAAATTTATGAACTTTTTATTTTAATATTTATTTCAAATTGTTATATTTGTAAACTGAAAATTCATGCAGGCAATGAAGGATTTTGATAACATAAACATACTGAGAAAGTATTATTGCTTCACGCCTGATAGTTTTGCAATAACTCAGGGCTTTCAAAACGTTCACCATGTTGCCCCGCTTTCCCCTAAATAAAAAGAACTGACACAAATTTTAATAGTGACCTCCTATTAAAATTTAAAACTTCTTTAAAAGATGTTATTATTTATACTGAAAGTTTTATTTCAAAATTTAAGAAAAAAAAATATCGGTTCTCTTGAAATTTGAAAAATGACAATTTTTCAGAAATAGTAACCTAATGGTATTGAAAGCATTTTTAAACTTGAAAATAAAACAAACTATATACTTTTCAATGGGTATTTACCTGATAATTTGCAGTTAGGGGTTAGGATTTATTGACTAAGAACAAAGAATAAAAAAATAGGCTAAGTAAACATTTTGGCCTGACTAAATATCATGTTTCGAAAGTCCACATTAATTGATTTTTTATTTCATGCTTTTTATTTTCACCTAAAGTGAAAATGACATAACAATTTTTTTAATTATAATAAATCTTTATCTAGTTTAGTACCTTAAAATACAAACATACTTACAATAAATTAAGAAGTTGGGATCAAAATCTAACTCAAAAACAGAGTTATAGGCGATTACCGCAACGATACGCGATTACGATAGGCGATAAGCGCAATTTTGTGGCTTTTAATTGCTAAAGTCCTGAGTTTACAAAAAAAAATTATTTTCAAAAATGAATGACCTTTTATCTACCATATTTGTAAATACCTGTAGAGTATTGCATAAATAAGAAAATATTAACATAGATTTAAATTATTTTTTTGATTGAGAGCCGTCATCTCTAAGCGTCTGGCAGAGCACATTATAGAGGCTCTTTTGTTGACAGATTTTGGTTAAGGCTACCTGTAGACTTTTAAGGTCAACAAGTTTTCGTTAGGGCTAGCTATAGACTTAATTTTAACGTCTACAGGTTTTGGTTATGGTTGACTTAATTTTCATTTTTTTGTTATCCGTTAATAGGATTCAGAACAATTTAAATAATTTGAACTTGATAATTTTAAAACTTCAAAAACATGAAATGTTTGTTATTATTGTTTATTTTTTCTATGATATTTATTTTATTTATTTTTATTTTATTCTGGTTGCGTAATCAGTAAAAAAAATCATAGTGGAAGTTTGTAATTATAAAAAAATATTTGTCTGCTCTTGTCGTATTTTTGTAAACATAAAAAAAAACTTGTCTGCTCTTGTTGTATTTTGTTGAAAAATAATTTTTATTTTCTGTTAATAATTAATCAAATGCATTTTATAAAATTTTAATTTTTACTTTTTTAATAAACGATTATATTATATAGTAAATATTTTTATATAAATGAAGTTTTTTTAAAGATTAGGAATTAGTTTATCAAATATAAGTAATATCAAATATATGTAATATCAAATATAATTTGTTTGGTATAAATGTTGCATTGTTTACATTTGAAGTTTATTTTTGAATAAAAAATAGTTTTATAAACATCTTTACTTTATCTGAACTTCTTCAATATTATTATACAAATATATTTCAACATGAGCATAAAGCTTCTGAAGAACTTTTGCATTTCTTATCCAACTTTAAATTTCTGATGTTCAAGTTCAATCTAATTATATGAACTTAAATCATATTTAAATAGTTATTCATTTATACATTTAAATATGTTTAAACATTATTCAGTATTAGGTTTTAACTTTGTAATTTAGTGTTACAAAGTTTTTTGTTGAATTATATAACGTAAATTTCAGTTAATTTACATATTTAATGCAACTGTGCCAAACATTACAGAATATAGATGGCATGGTTATGTAAACAATTCTGTTGGGTCAAAACAAATCTTTATCTAGTTTAGTACCTTAAAATACAAACATACTTACAATAAATTAAGAAGTTGGGGTCAAAATCTAACTCAAAAACAGAGTTATAGGCAATTAGCGCAATTTTGTGGCTTTTAATTGCTAAAGTCTTGAGTTTACAATAAAAATTTGTTTTCAAAAATGAGTATTAACCTTTTATCTACCATTTTTATAAATACCTGTGGAGTATTGCATAAATAAGAAAATATTAACATAGATTTAAATTATTTTTTGTTGGGTCAAAATAACTAATTACTAATCGTTATTGGTCCAACTGCAAATCCAATACAGTAGCACCATCTAACACAAAACGTAGTTGGCCCTACAATGCCAAGGACGGTCCAGGATTTTTTTTTCAGGCCCTACAATGCTGCTTGAGAAATCTTTTTTATTTTGTTAGTTTAAACTAAAACTTTATTTGAAACTTTTTTTTTAAAGCAATCTATGCCAAATTAAAGAATTTATCACCTTTTTTCATAAAATCTTTTCTATAAAAATTTTTGATCTTGTATCATCAATCGTTTGAACTTCGACTGTTTTTGATTTTTTATATATATTTGGTTATAAAAAAAAAATTTAAGGGATAAAATGTCCAGGAAAAAACAAAAACTGGAAAATAGATAAAGTTTCATTTGCAGTTGTTTTGAAGTAATTAGTAAAATTATTTTTTTGTTTGATTTGACCTGGTTCAAAAACTAATTCTACCCTAACCTTTAACCGGGTTCGAAGTCTCACCCGAATCCTTTTTCGGGTTCTAAGATTGTATAAGGTATTTGTATTGGAAAAACGTAAGATATTGTTCCTAGAAATAAGTTAAATAAAATTATTTTTAACTTCCTAAAGAAATGTTGAAAAGTATCCCAGAATAACCGGGAAAAATCATATTTTATTTAAGTTTTAAATAAACCAGTTTTAAATAAAATTATAATAAAGAAAAATAAATTCATAAAGATTAATTTCCTAATAATAAATTAAATACCTTATAATAATAAAATAATAAATTCCATAATGTTAAATTTATTTTGATAGTAAATTTTAAATATACTGAAATAACTAAAAAAAAACTTATACGTAAAAGTTATATCCCAGTAAAAATAATATGGTTAAAATTATAGAGATAAAATAATATAGTTAAAATAATATAGATAAAATGCAAATGTTAAAACAACAATTCTTACCAGTAATGCTGTTAAAAACGATTTTGTTGATTTTTTAGTTTAACTTTGAACAAAGAATGAAGAAATTTGGCGTTGAAAATATGAAGGTTTTATGTTGTTGTCGAAAGTTGGTGTTGAAAGTTGGTGTTGAAAAGATTTCAAAATCAAACATATATCACTTGATTTCAGAAAATGCCATTAATAGTTTAAGCAGGGTCGCTCATAAAAAATTCATTATTTGTAGAATTTCTTAATATACACAAAATTAATAATTAAACTCTAACCCAACTTTCTAACATAACATCATAACCTAATGTATCGATGTATAGATCTTATTTTGTTCAAATTTATCCCAATTCATTTTTTAGCTTGCAACACATCTTTCCGCCATCAATCGTCGATTGTTCATTTGACCAGCAAGAATAAATTATTATAGTTTTTGGAACAAAAGATTAAATAAAGTGAAGAAAGAAGAGAGATAGAGCGCGCAAGAGAGAAAAAGAATGGGGTGAGGGAGAATTCTTAATTTTTTTGAAATATAATAATAAATTTACAAAATTATTATAAAGAAATGTCGGTTCAAAGGTTTTTCAATATTTGTTGAGTATTTTTGATTTTTGTACAAATAATTGTTGAATATTTCAGACGATCATCAGAGAGAAGGTATTATAAAAAAAAAAGAAAAGTATTTAAAAAACATTTAAGAAAATTTTTTAGAAATTTATTTAAAAAATCAAACATGTAATCAGTAAATATGTCTATAAAATATCTTTATACATTTTTTTTTTGAATATATTCATACTACTGTTAAAATCTTTTCAATTATGAATCATTACTTAAGCAGTGTTTTTTAAATAAGCAAAAGTTTATCTAAAACTCTGGTATAATAACAATGACCTTACAAATGTTTGCATAGTAAAATTAAGTTACATTGAAAATTACCTTTTAAATAAGCTATTTATATAAACTTAATATTTTAAACTTAATATAAAACTTCTCACTAAAAAGTACCTTTCTTTAATAAAGAATACGTCGAGCATAACTAACCAAAGACAAACACGGAACAAATTTATTTGAAACGAAACTATGTTCCAAAAATATAAATGAAATCAGCAGGTTTCCGACGGCATCCTAATTTCTAGATAGAGTTAAAGCGCATAAACTATGCATAATTCAAAAATTATAATATGAATTCTCGATTATTTATAAATTGATTCATTATATAAATTATTTAATTTTTTTGCATTAAATAATTTACCAAATAATTCAGTGCACACATATTATTTACGATTCAAAACTAGATTGGGAGGAAGAAAGACGGCCAATATAAAATTTGTATTAATATAAATTTTATGAAAAATATTTAAATATCTTGTTTATATTCCTGCGAATATATTGAATATATCGAATATCGCTACCGATTTCCTACAGTTATTATATATGTTTTATATTTGGAAATCTTTTATAGTAAGTAAAAAGTATACTAATACATGTTTTTCCTTTGGTATATAGTTAATAAAAAATGTCCTATACTTTATAGAACATTGCACGAAAACGTAGGGTTTGTTTCTTTATATAGTTTACAATTTTTAACGTAACATATTAGTTAACTTAAGTAACATATTAGTAAACTTAAGTAACATATTAGTTAACTTAAGTAACATATTAGTTAACTTAAGTAACATATTAGTTAACTTGGTACTTTTAACGTGAATCTGAATCATTAAAGAAAAGTCTTTGATCAACAAATTTCTCACATCCTATTTGGATTCAAATAACTTCCTGTTAGACAATCAATACGGTCTTCGATCCTCTCGCTCTACTGCTGAGTTGCTAACTGTTGTGGCTGAAATTTTTTATCGTGCATTAGATGAAGAAACAGACATTAAATTGAGGCCAAGGTTATTATTACTTGACATATCTAAAGCTTTAGAAAAATATTGACATACTGGTCTTCTCCTTTGCCTTGTGTGGTGTATCTGGGAAAGTTTTTGAGATTATCAAATTGTTTCTTTCTAACCGTTTTATTAAAGTCATCCTTTAAGGAAAACACTCTTCTTCGTTTTTAGTAACTTCTGGGATACCTAAAGATTTTATCCTTTGTAAAATCTAAAGTAGCGATTTTTACTGATGACTCAACTTGATACTCCTGTCTGACAAAAAGTCTTTTTTCAATTGCTTAGCAACAGGCCGATCTTAAATCTGATTTCACTTGTCAAACAAATTGACATTCATGTCAACTGTTTGTGTTTTAAAAATGTGTTTTAAAGAATGACAATCCTATCACTCAGTTCACTTTTTTATGTTTTCTTGGATTAGCATTTACTACTAAACCCTCGTGGCAACCATATATACAATCGATTGTTTAATTAACATCCGCTAAGGTTGTTTCTCTTTATCGTGCTTGCCAAAGCGTTACTCCTGGGTCCATTCTCTACCTCTACAAATCTCTTACTCGTCCCTGTGTCGAATACTGGTGTCATATTTGGACTTTTTCTCCTAATGATGCATTTTCTCTTTGAAGCAAGGTCCAAAAACATATTTTAAATGCAGTTAGACCTGCTTTATCTGCTAAACGTGAGTTTTATTCCGATTGTCGTAAAGTTGCACCTCTTTATCTTTTCTAAAAACACTACAATGGTTGCTGCTCAAAGCAGCTATCATCTTTAGTTCAATCATCTAAAACTCATTCTTGCTTGACTCGTCAATTAGCAAAGTCTCATTCGTTTACTGTATCTGTCGCTGTATACTTTTAAAAATTTTATTCATCTAATTTATTTCAATCCTTTGTAACTCTCTCCCATTGTCATGTTTTTCTGACTCACACAACCTACAACTTTTTAAGTCATCTGTCATCCAATTTAGGATTCATGTCATCAAATTCCTTGCTCTATAACTCTATTCTTTTTTTCATGTATCTCCTAACCTATTAGTGGTTGCTAGCGACCTTGTAATAAGTGAAACAAAAACAGTTAAAAAGTTCTGTATATGAGTCTGAATTCAAATTAAAAAAAAGTGTAGTCAAAAAGTGAGCAAAAAGTTTTATTCACACTTTTATATACTTAAAAACTTCTAAATGATGCAGAAAGATTTTATATACTAAAACATTACCGAACGATGCAGAGTATTTATGACGAATTTGATGAATTTTTATGAGTAGAAAAAGAACACGTGACTAAAAAGGTGTTGCATATTGAAAAATTAAATGCTTTTTTCTGTCATCATTTTCAGTTGTATATTTAACATTGGCAAGTGTAAGGAACTTTTATTAAAAATGCAAAACCTAGTGTTTGGTTAAACCTGGTAACGAACTTTGACCTAAATTATAAAAATGTTGACACTTTTATTTTACGCTTTTATATTATATATGCATATTTTCATATTTATTATAAAGTGTTATAATAGAGAATTATTCGTGCCAAACTTCTTTTTTTCGAAATGATCATTCTTAATACATATCGATCATTCTTAATACATATCAATACATATCAAGCATTCTTAATACATATCAAGCATTCTTAATACATATCAATACATATCAAGCATTCTTAATACATATCAAGCATTCTTAATACATATCAAGCATTCTTAATACATATCAAGCTCAATACTTCGAGATATGTATTAAGAATGATATTCTTTGTTTTACGTTTTCAAAATATATTAAAAATGTTTACTTTTTTTTCCACAATTTATATGCATTAACTATAAAAATAAGTACAATTTAGTATTAAAAATATCATTCGGCAACCATTTTGTTGAGAAAATTTCTTTTTGTAGAAAAAAAAAAAAAGTTAAAAAACTTTTAGACCATAGCGGAGACCAAGAGTAGTGTTGTTAATTTTGAAAGTTCTATCAATTAAACATTTTATAAAACTTATTTTATATTAAAACGAAGTAAAGCTGTAAAAGTTGGTGTATAATCTAGTAAAGGTTTTTTTATGAAAAAGTGTTGTAATTGTTAAACTGCTCGACTTACATAGAGTTATGTCCAAAAAAGATTTTTGAGTTTTCTTCCTTTTCCATAGTGAAAGATATTGAAGAATGTTTTTTGTTTATATAATCCAAGAATAAAACTGCGTGGTTTTTTGAGGGGATAGCAGCAAAAATTTTACAGCTTTATTTCGTTTTCATATAAAATAAGTCTTATAAAATGTTTAATTGATAGAACTTTCAAAATTAACAACACTACTCTTGGTCTCCGCTATGACATTAAAAATCTTTTCAAAACACTCAAACGTAATATGTACCCATCTTGGCTAATTGAAAGAATCTACAACTCTTATTTAAATAAAGATAATTATGTCGTTCTATCACCGTCTGAAGACCTTACAAACTCTCGCTATTTTAAACTTCCTTATATTGGTCGAATATCTGAGCTAACGAAACGAAAATTACACGCAATTATAAAGAGACATTGTAAGTTGATTACCGTAAAATTAGTATTCACTTCGTTAAAAGTGTCTAACTTTTTTTCATCTAAAGATCACCTTCCTGTAGATTTTAAATCATTCGTCGTCTACGAATTTGTTTGTGCAGGATGTAAATCCTGTTATATTGGCGAAACCTCTCGCTACTTAAAGACGCGAGTGATTGAACACTACAGAAGGGATAAAAACTCTCTTATTTATAAACATCTTTACTCAAAAGAAAAATGTTTTAAAAATTATAATGATGAATGCTTTTCAATTTTGGATCGTGCTAAAAACAAAATTGAACTAAAAATTAAAGAAAGCATTCATATATAATGGGAAAAACCCGAAATGAATAAACAAGTAAACCATGTTAAAATGACTCTTATAATTTAATATGATTTACCGGTTTCTTTTGTTATATTTGACATTTGCTAAAATAATTTTAATAAATCTTTTTGTATATATAAGAAGTTTGTTTACAATTTTATGGCTTTTATTATGTTTATTTTTACAACTATATTTTATATTTTATACCATTTTTAACAAATATGTTTTAACTGATGATGACTATATATAGTCGAAACATGTATTGAATAATAAAATGTTTTTAAATAAAATTAAAAAATTTGTCTTATTTTTAAAAGTTATATCACATTTTGTGCTGAAAAGAAGTTTCGGTAATATATATATATATATATATATATATACATATATATATATATATATATATATATATATATATATATATATATATATATA